TCACCAGAGACATAGTGGGGAGCAGAACAGGCAGATTGACTAAGTACACTGCTGAGGGGAGCAGTGGGCGGGTCAGGAGAGGTCTGCCACGCCATGTGGTCACCTCCGGGGCAAGTGGGGATCGAACTCATGCAGAACTGGTTTAAGCTTCTTAGTGCAGTGCTTTAACCCGCTGCGCCACCAGGGAGGGCCCAGAATGTTCTTTTAACTCACACCAGCTGCTTCTGATCTTTGCTTTCAGTTGTTGCTGCTCAAACCACTGCAGAAAAATATGGTTACCAGTAAAATTCCATCTTCTCTATAGGCTGGTCACAAAGAAATAAAATTAGATTTTTCTCCCCAAAATTTCAAAATTTATTTGTTTAGGCATACAAGAACTGGGGTAAAGGCCAAAGGTGCTGGGGGTGAAAGGTTTACCAGAGAGAGTGGGGAACAGAAAGCGGATGCACTGAACTACACTGCTGAGGGGAGCAGCAGGCGAGACAGGAGAGGTCTGCTGGGCCATGTGGGTCACCTCCCTGGCTTGGGATCGAATTCGTGCTGCAGTGGCAACGGATAGCTTCATAGTGCTGTGTTTTAACAAACCTTTGCACCACAAGAGGGGCCCTAATGTCCAGTCTTTATAATTCACTTTGGTTCTTCCTTTTGGTCCTTCCACCCTCCTTCCTTCCTTCCATTCACTCACTTATTCATTGACAAGCAAGTAGATATGAGCTTCTTAATTGAGCCATATCCTGAGCAGGTGCTGGGGCCCGAGCAAGATGTGCTGGCCAAAGCCTCGTTGTAGCCACTTCTTCCGTGGAGCTTCCTTGATGGTTGCTGGACACTTGGAGCGCTCACTTCCAAGTTCCCGAAACTTTAAAATATTCTCCCAGTATCACAGGTAGGAGATGAATTATTGGCTCATTCCTCTCACCCTTGGCCATGAGGGTGACATGGTATTCCACTGACTCATGACTGGAAGATGCTGTATCTACCAGGCTCACTGCTGAAGGGGCATTTGTGGAACTGTACAGGCTGCTGTGCTCAGCCTGTGCCGCCTACCCACCAGCTGCACTTTCAAAAATTTGAGAAAAGGAATAATTCCAAATATATTTTATGAGGCCAGCATTACTCTAATACGAAGACAACATACAAAAGGAAACTACAGCCAATTTTCCTGATGACCACAGATGCATTGAAATGAGTATAGATCATGTCCAACTGGGATTTATACCAGGGACACAAGAATCGGTAGACACCTGAAAGTCAATCAACCTATTTTAACATATCAATAAAAGGACCGCTAACCACATGATATCAACAGTGCTAAGAAAGCATTTGGTAAGAGTATCTTTTTATGATGAAAACCCTTGAAAAATTGAAATACCTAATGCCAGCTTTAGTGTTTCCAGGAATGTCACCTTTAACTGGGCCAATTGGAATTACCTGATTGACACTAGTGAGACCATTGCCCCTCTTCTCCCCCTAGAATGGTGACCCTGCTTGAAACATTCTTCTCTTTGCTAATAATTTCCTTTTGTAACCCCCTTTCTATCTGTAAAGCTTTCATTCTGTATAGCACTTCCTTAGGCCTAGCCACTTGATTCTGCCCAGTCTGTGAATCATTGAATAAAGCTAATTAGATCTTTGAATTGAGTTTTTGAAAAGATTTATTTATTTATGCTTACAGAACTGGGGTACAAGCCAGAGGTGCAGGGACAGTGAAAGGCTTCACCAGAGATAGAGTGGGGAGCAGAATAGCAGATCCACAAAGTACACTGCTGAGGGGAACAGTGGGCGGGTCAGGAGAGGTCTGCGGGCCGTGTGGGTTCACCTCCAGGGCCGGGGATCGAACTTGCACCGAAGCTGCTGTGGCTAGCTTGCAGTGCTGTGTCCTAACCCGTTGCGCTACCAGGAAGGGCCCAAATTTTGTTTTTTAACAATAACAGATGCATATGTCTTTGCTTTCATGAGGCATCCCTGGAATTGCATGTGTCCCGGAAAGACGTGGCATAGTCTTAGCACTAAGTCTGTTTCCCTTCCCAGGTTTCTGGGTGGAACGTACCCCGGTGCACGAGGCAGCCCAGCGGGGTGAGACCCTGCAGTTGCAGCAACTTATCGAGAGCGGTGCCTGCGTCAACCAGGTGACGGTGGACTCCATCACGCCCCTGCATGCAGCCAGTCTGCAGGGCCAGGCCCAGTGTGTGCAGCTCCTGCTGGCAGCTGGGGCCCAGGTGAGTGGACCACAGGACAGACCCCAGACTGGCTGTGACTATAGGAATGAATGGGACCTGCTTAAGAGAACATGTGGTGGAGGACAAGAAGTGGACTGGGACGAGTGTCCTGTGATTGGTAAATGCATGGAGAGCGAAGCAAGTGCTGAGGGAGGCTGAAGGGGAAAGAAGGAGGAAGCCAGCGTGGTGTGTAGAGACAGCTGTAGGTGGGAGGGTGGGTGGTCAGCTCAGCTGCATGTGAAGATCAAGTTCACAGACTTGGCTATGAGGTTCCTGTGGCCAGTGACAAGGCGGATGAGCAAAATGGTGGCGGAAACCCTCTGTTCTGCGTGAGGTCAGGGGCCATGTACATTAGACACAGACAGGCTCTCCAGGGTGGCAGGCAGGGCCTGGACTAAGAGCTACTTTGGCTCAAAGAGCAGGTTCTGGTCTCAAGTGGGATGCTGGCAAAAGGGAACAAGAACCAGGATCTGACTGGCTGCATTTCTGGTGTAAGCACTTACTGCAGGGCTGGAGTCCAGCCCCAGTGGTTAGAGGCCAAGAGAGTTGCTAGATGTTAAATTACTCATGTGTACTGCCATGGGCTGTAGGAGTTGGTTGGCCCCAGCTGGATGGCTTACAGGAATCAGCTGGGTAGGAGTTCAGGTGAGAGTGAAGTGAAGACTGAACCACTTCCCCTTCCACAAGCTTAGCTGTGAAGCTAAGTTCCAGGCTCAGGAGACCTGGAACAAGCTTCAGCATGTCCCTAATAATGGCTCAACTGGACACATTTTAAGCAAAAATGCGAGCTTGGGGTGTCACCCTTTTCCTGCCCTATGATTTTTGAACTAGAGGTGGAATCTTAAGCAGTTTCAGCACTTTTTAGCTAAGGCTTGTGTTAAAAGACATTTATGCTCCGCCTAACTCAGCTGGTACCTGGAGCACTTCTTGTTGGCTCTGTGATCCTTGGGGGTGGCGGTGGAATGAATCTGAGTTGATCCTGCCCAAGAGTGAACCCCACAGAAGATGACCCTGCACTGAGGAGGCTAATCCCACTCCCAATCTGTATTCCTTTTTACTCTTAAACCCCCTTGCCTGGTGCAGCGCCTTAGCACAGCATAGAAAACCTAGAAGCATCTCTGCACAGGTATTTGTGCATCAAGACGAGAAAGTGAGCTGTGTGGCATTTCCCCCCGTGACGCTATTTCTTTCTCCCCTCCGAGGTGGACGCCCGCAACATTGACGGCAGCACGCCTCTCTGTGATGCCTGTGCGTCCGGCAGCATCGAGTGTGTGAAGCTCTTGCTATCCTATGGGGCCAAGGTCAACCCACCCCTGTATACTGCCTCCCCACTGCACGAAGCCTGCATGAGCGGTGAGTTTGCCGAAGGGAGCAGCGAGGCAGGACAGGGAAGCCATGGCTGGTGAGGAGAGCTTCCAGTCTGTTTCCAGCCCTTCGCCATGCCCGGGGATCCACTCTTGCACCCAGGATAAGGGGTGGTTGTATTGATGATGAAACTATTTCTTAGCAGGGTCTCCAGCGCCTTTCAGATGTGAACACTGGAGATGGCTCCATGCTGTAGCTACTCACTTTTGTCATTGCTGTGATCTGTGGGCCTTAATCTAGTGAGGAAACTAGATCCAGACACACCCCTGAGGATGGTGCTCTCAGAAAGTGGGGAATCCTGGGGGCTCAGGGAGCAAGTGGGACATCAACTGACCTCTAAGAATGGACAGATCTCAGACAGTGGGACGAGAAGCCACTCCAGTCTCACTGTTGAGGGGCAGTGAAAGATGAGTGAAGACTAAAGTGAAATAGTGGGTGAAAATTCTTTGATGGCAGTTTGGTTTCTACTCCTTTGAGCAAAGGTTGCAAACTTGTAGTCAATATTTTGGTTGGCCAGCGCCAAGTTTTTCTTACTGAGTTTGATCAGGGTTTGGGGAGCAGGCTCCTCCATAAGGGCCTCTGTTATGTTTCCTCACATCCTGAACCCCACAATTAGGTCATCTTTGCCACCCACAGGCACTGGGGGGTTGCTGTAGGCATCTTTTAAAAGGTTTCTGAGCAGATTGAGTAAGAAGAAAACTATGTTTTAGAAAGGTTATTTTAGTGCCATCCATGTACAATGAATGGAGGAGAAAATAGTTTCCCTCCTCCTATCTTAGACATATTTACTGGGGCCTTGCAAACTGGACTGACAGAGAACAGATTCACAAGAGCAAAACAGAAGCTTTCAATTCCTGCACCCATTATACACATGGAAGAAGTTAGTGATACTTAAGGGGATGCTTATAGTGTACGCTTATAGTGTATCTTAACAAAGAATAAAAACTTTGCAGAGAAGTGATCAGACAAAAGGAAAGAACTGTGAGTTTCTGGAATGATAAATTATAGGAAGGCAAATATATCTAGAAGGAATTAATGGGTGATAAGGACTGGTTAGCAAGGTTTGTTGAGTAGATCCTCTGATGCCATCTCTGAGCTGATGAGGGTCTAGTACTGTCTCTGGTGATGAACCTGTCCTTCAAGGTGGCAGTGGTGGTGGGGAGGCTGCCTTTACAAGCTGTATCCTGATCCTGGACGAATTGGAGGAGAGTTTTTTTTTTTTTTTTTTTTTGGTATGTGCTTTGTTTTCAGTGGTCTTCAGCTCAGAATAATCCTTGTGGCATAGTGTCATACTTTGGAGTAGCATATTCTGCCATACTTCAATAGACAGAGTGAAATGGTAGTGGTAGAGAATATCCTGGAAATGGATAGAAGAATTGGGGGCCATCTCAATGAAAAGAACTCATCGTTTTTTTCTTTTGTCTGATCACTTCTGATTCTTAGAGCCCAAATAGGGTGGCACATGGAAAGGGAAGGACTCATGGAAAGCTTTGGGGAAAGATTCAGAACATGGGTAAAAATGACCTTGGGTTGAGTGGGGAGTGCTGCCAATGGCTGAGACAGATCTGGCAGGACCTGGCACCCAGGGAGGGAGAGGGCTGTGTGTTGGTCATCACATCCAAATGAGACTGCCCAGCAGATGACTGTAGAGTTAGTTGTAGCTGGATGTAAGGGCTAGAGGTGGAAACTTGGTAACTACCAACACAAAAAGTAGGGTAAGTGATAATTGAGCATGAAGGCTGGAACAAACTGAGCCTTTACCCATCCCAAGTTAAAGACAGTGGAAGAGGAACATAGGGAAGACTCGGGAAAGGCCCTGTCTAGGAGAGGAACCTGCAGTTGTTGGGATGAGATATTGGGGATGTCTGTGTAGGTGACTCAGGCTCAGATACCTACAGCTTTATGTTTTCACCTCGGGATTGGGCTCTGTGCTCCAGCCACAGCCTAGAGCTTGACCTCTTTTTCTTCCACCGAGGAGCCAGGGAACAGTATGTCTAGCTATTCAGAGAAGGCTGGAAAATGACCAGTCCTCTTGCTGCAAGATCCTAAATTTTGGGAGTTGTACCTCTGAATAGCATCCTCAGCAGAAAGGAAACCACCCCTGCTCCTTAGGACCACACAGGGTCATGAGCTACTCTGAATTCGGGTTCCTGTTCCCCACTCTCATGCTGCACCAAGCATGGGGCTTACCTGTTCTAGCTACTCAATATTTCATGTGTGTACCTACATCAGTGTTTTCATCCTCTCCGTTTCTCCTAAGGAAGTTCCGAGTGTGTGAGACTTCTAATTGACGTTGGGGCCAATCTGGAAGCACATGATTGCCATTTCGGGACCCCTCTGCACGTCGCCTGTGCCCGGGAGCATCTGGATTGTGTCAAAGTACTGCTCAATGCAGGTGGGTTGTGTGCACACCTGTGCTGCTCCATGCAGGTGCAGTATAGTCACCTCCTATGCTCCAGGCCAGGGTGCTGTTTCCTGCCCTGTGTTGGCAGAGAGCTGGTAGTGGGGTCGGACAGATTGCAGTGCTGCGCTCCATACATTGGGCCACAGGGAGGCCCCTTGAGCTTTTAAAGAAACCTTTTACCGTGCCTACAGGGTGCCTTTATTTAAAGCCGAGTTACTCTCTATGTGATTGGTTAGTTCTTGGCGGTCTCAGTCACTGACTTAAGGTCCCTGTGCCCTGAATTAACCTAGCATCCCAGCCCGTGTGCTGAGTCCTTTGTTGTCCTTGTCCAGGAATGTCCTGTCCCTAGTCCAGGGTGTGTTTGACTAACCCCCTTTGGAGTTTGGTGTATCTCTGGAGTCTTCCTTATTACTCTGGGGCTTTTCTGATTCTCTTCTGGCCCTAGAAGCTATTGGGTCACCCCCAGGGGGGGCCTCCCCAAGCCTGGGACCCCTCTGCATCCCGAAATGCAGTGGGGCTGGTTTGGAAGGAAGTGGGAGGCAGACAGGATGTGGCTGCCAGCGCTGGGGCTCTGACAGTTTTAGAGGCAGTTTTCCTACACCTGGGGAGTGGAATGTAGTGTGAATGGGGTTCTCCCTGGAGGGGCCCTGCTGGGTTTTTGTCAGCCTTTTGTGCTTGTTGCTGTCAGCTCTAGACTCAGTCCTTGCTAGTGAGTCTAATTTACTCAGATGGTCTTGTTTGACTTGCTTATTCACGCACATACATTCTTTTTCTTTTTCTTTCCCCCCACAAAGAACTATTTTTGAACTCTGGGAAAGCTTCAACCCAGAGAAAAGCAGAGAGGACAGCACATGGATTCTTTGCAAAGCAGTGACGCTAAGCCTTTTGGGGGGTGGGTCCCGTTGGAAAATTTGACGAAGGCTACTGAGACCACCTCTCGTGAAAAACTACAACAAACTGGTGCTTTGGGCCCTGGTTTCACTGCCCAGTGGGCTGTGTGTGTGTGTGTGGAGTTCCTGGGGCTCACTCGGAGTGTGGGGGAGACAGAGACTATTGGACTTTGTCAGTGGTGAGGCCAAATCCTCAGAGTTTTGTTGAGAGTAGGGGGCAGGTGGAAGTCCACTTGTTAAGGTGAAGTAATTCTAAATCTCAATACCGACAGTAAATATTTAACTTTGCTGGAAACTTTGGAGGAACTAGGTGAGAAGTCCACACATCCTTCTTCCAGCCCAGGGCCTGCCTGCCTGTGTTCTCAGTTAAGTCTCAGCCAACACACACAGGGTGACGTGCTCCTGGGTCCCAGTGCTGGTGCTGGGTCCTATGGTGCATGACATTGTGTCTCTGCTGGTTAAGATGTTACTGAGTCCACTGCATCCTATTTTTTTTTTTAAGTTATATTTATTAATACATACAAGAACTGGGGTATAGGCCAGAGATGTGTGGGGTTAGGGGGGATTCACCAGAGACAGTGGAGAACAGAACAGGAGGACGACTGAAATACACTGCTGAAGGGAGCAGCAGGCGAGACAGGAGAGGTCTGCCGAGCCGTGTGGGGCACCCCAGGGCCGGGGAATTGAACTGGTGCTGCAGTGGCTGTGAATAGCTTCATAGTGCTGTGCTTTTAACCCTTGTGCCACCAGGGAAGGCCCACTGGATCCTGTTTTGCTTTGAAATCAGGATTTGGGTAATGGGCAGACTTTGATCTCTACCTTTGAAGCCAGAAGCTGGGAATTTTCAGCTGACTTAAGTTGGCATCTTTCTGTTGACAGTCCATTACCATTATTAGTCCAAACAAAGTCAGACCCCTTTTTCACACTGCCCGGCCCCTCACACCACTATTGTAATGCATTTTGTCAGAGGAGGTAAATGCTGGAATTTAATTGCTTCCCTGGTTTCAAGAGAATGCACCGTGGAGATGCAAATGCAAAAGCTATTTAAAGATTTACTTAGCTGTTGTCACTAGTGAGGATTGAAAGGCTGATTTACCTGCAGACAGTAGAATTTTATAGGGTTGCTTCACAGAACAAGAACATGAAACCAGTTCTGACTTAAAAGCACAGGAGGGGTGTGTCCCAGAATGTTTCAGATTAGTTTACACTGAGTAAATGTTTGTGTGTGTGTGTGTGTGTGTGTGTGTGTGTGTGTGTGTGTGTGTGTGTGACTGGCAGGAAAGCTTGAGAGCTCAGCCTGGGCTTCCAGGGCTCCCAGGACCTGAGAGACAGACTGGAGAGCCTCAGAACTTCCTCTTAATGCACAGGGACGTTTTCTGTTAGGTTTTTGGGGTCGGTTTTCAGTTACATTTATACATGACTACTACTTGTCTTTAGCTCTCTTGTTATAAGAAAAAAAGAAGTAACTACTGCGTTTGTATTTTGAAAAGGGTTTTGAAAATGCCATACTTAAAGTCTGTTTTGGTTTCATTTGCTGGATGGTATTGCTTTTATTGGTCATTATGCAGAACGAAAAAATACAAACCAGTGTTTTCTTTTGACTCAGACTTCTCTTTCTTTGCTTCTACCCCCCACAGGGGCCAATGTGAACGCAGCCAAACTTCATGAGACAGCACTTCACCACGCTGCCAAGGTGAAGAACGTTGACCTCATTGAGATGCTCATTGAGTTTGGAGGCAACATCTATGCGCGAGACAACCGGGGGAAGAAGCCCTCAGACTACACCTGGAGCAGCAGCGCTCCCGCCAAGTGCTTCGAGTACTACGAGAGTGAGACTTGCTTGAATTTTATGATGTATTGTTTTTTTTTAAGATTTATTTATTTGTGCATACAAGAGCTTGGGTACAGACCAGCGGTGCGGGGGTGAGTCACCAGAGCCTGATGTTTCCATGTCTGTCAGTTAAATAGGACCCTGAGGAAGGTTCTCTTTATGTATCCTAACAATTCAGGAGGGAGAGTGACCTGGGAAAATGAATCTCACCTGTCATTTTTTCTTAAAAAAGATTCATTTATTTATACATACAGAACTGGGGTACAGATCAGAGGTGTGGGGAGCAAGAGGATTCACCAGAGACAGAGTGGGGAGCAGAACAGGCAGATCAACTGAAATACACAGCTGAGGGGAGCAGCAGGCAGGGCAGGAGAGGTCTGCGGTGCCATGTAGGTCACCTCCCTGGCCGGGGATCGAACTGGTGCTACAGTGCCTCCAATAGCTTCATAATGGTGTGCTTTAGCCCATTGCACCACCAGGGAGGGCCCTCAGCTGTATTTTTTTTAAAGAATTTTTTTATTACATAATTTTTCATAAGTTGGGAATCCAAATATAAGTCAACTGGTTGATTTAATATTTTTTTCAAACACAGGTCTTTCTAGGATGTAGATCACAAGGACTCTGCTTACAAATGTACCCCTGTTGCTAGCTGCAGGGATGTATGTTCTGGCTGTCTTCTCAGGCCCTGGTTTGCTGTCCTCTTTGAACCACCACTCTAGGCTCCTCCTTCAGTTCTAAGGTCCTGGCGCTCTGCAGCCTGGGAGTGCATCTGCACCTGTATCTGGGGCTGTTTACGACTTGCTATAGTTCCTCTTGGGTCCCCTCGGATCCCCTTGAGCAGCGAGAGATCAATCACTGGCAGCTAGCCCCTACCCAGCATAAATCTTACCCTGCCCTTTGTTTGTCTGGAAGTTTGTCAAACAAATCTACCAGCTGTACATTAGTCTTTTGCCGACAAGTTTGTGTCCTGACATAACATGATG